ATCTTTTGAAAGAAAACTTTTCAAAATCATATTTTCTTCAATCAACGAAGATCAAAACCCATAAGATCATTTTAAAAGATTAAGAGACAAACCCACTTTCAAAATCGCTCAACTTCTTGAATCATCAATCAATTTTCCAAAACAAATCAAAGGATGATTTCGAAAATCATCTAGATCTTGCAAAAATATATATATAACTCAAAGAAAATCCCTACCTGAAGTATTGAAGAAGAATAGAGATGAAACCCCAAAATTTACAGTGTCGAAACTCGATCTCCACCGCACAGCATGAAGCCCTCGAGGTGATGACCAACTTTGGTGAAGAACTTAGGTCTAAATCCCAATAGATTTGGAGAAATCAAAGAGAGAAGATGACTTCTAGAGAGAGAAGCTCCCGATCTAGAATTCTGGAGAGTTTTAGAGAGAGAGAGAGAGAGAGGACTGAAAAAGCGATCTGAAATATCAGATTCATGAATTGATATAACATGGTCCACTCGAGCGTGGAAAGGTCCACTCGAGCGTGGACAAGTCAAACTTTTGAAACCAAACATTCTCTGCTCGAGCGCATAAACGGCCGCTCAAGCGGACAAGCAACTTCAAATACATTTTGCATTTTTGCTTCGGGGGCGCTGCCCTCGGACCCCCGCGAGCTGACTAGGCAGCTCGATCCTCGACCGGCCCAGTCGAAGTGGCAAAACATGAAAGAATGATTGAAACCGGGATCGCTACAGAGGATTTTAAGTTCTTTTAATATAAAAACACTTGCAGGTTTTTTCTATGAATCAGTACAAATCCATTCCCTTTTTCTTTTCCAAACATAATGGGGAAATCTCATTGTGTGTGCCTATTTTATATGCTATTTTTTCAGAAAGTAAGAAGACTTCTTTAATTCAATGGGTGAAAATTTAACCTCTGAAGAAAGATATTATGAGTGCAAGACCCCACATACCTGCAAGAGCTCGGTGTCCTTGGAGGCAACCGCAGCTCATGACATATGAAATGATGACAAATAGAACCATGGGAATCAGAAATCAAACGTAACCAACTGAATTCAATGTAAAATGAGTTGGATTATTTCACAATAAGATTGGTAATGAAAAAGATAAATTTGACAACTCTGTTAATTTAATTACTATGTGAAACATACTTCTGTAACATACACTTCAGATCCTTGAATCCCCTCAACTGGCACAAATCAAAATAAATTGTCCTGGATAAGCCCTTCAAAATAAATTGCTAAGGTTGTAAAATGTTGTAGGGAACAAATCAAATATCAAGTATAAATTCATAGTGAATTGAGACTGCTAGTCAGCCACTACTGGAATTTTCTAGTTGCAGAACTAAACAATAATAGATTCTAACAATTCTGTGTTCAAACAGCTACAACAGTTGCAAGGCGAATCTCGTCATATAGAAACATAAGGCATTGTTCAACAACAATCTCAAAATTATAACCGACTCACCAATAGAGAGACAACCACCAAGCACCTTCAGGAAACTGTATATGCAAATAAGCTTCCTACAGAGTAGGTACAACCATTGAGTGAGAGAGAGAGAGAGCGAGAGAGAGAGAGATGCCCAATAAATCAGATCATGCTATTATAAATCAGATAATAATATCAATGATAATAGTAACAGTAGTAGTAGAGGTGGTGCGGGGTGTGAAAAAGACAGAATAGAACAGAACCACCTGCCAAGACCAACTGAAATTTTGATTTTGAAAATTTCTACACCAATACAAACCTGAACAAACCAATATATTTATTTAAATACTTTATATTTTAATCTTTTGAACATTAGAAGCTAATTGACTAACAATACACATTTTGTAATAAAAATTAGAGAGAGATGCATTTATAGAACAACTCTCACTATTTTTCTTTATTTATTACCAATGTGGGATTCTACAAGTTTTTATAAAACCCTTTAAAATCTCATGTGAATCCCTCATCTACACCAAACCAACAAAACCAAACCGTAGCATGCAGTTTGATTCAGTTCTTCAATCAACAAAATGGAAAATTCCAATTTAGTGCTAAATTTTCCCTCACTCTTGACCAAGCCGTTTACACCCCTAGGTGGTAGTGGCTAGAGGAGGAGGAGGTGGACCAAAAGAGGAGGAGAGAGATATAAAATGAAGTAAAATTTAATTTCAAAAATTGTCTAACACTGTCGGACAATGTGACTCACGAGATGCTTGTGTTTTCTTCCTTTGCTCTCATCAACCTTGGAAGAATCCACCTTTACTACTTGAGCTGCTTCACAAAGCTATAATTTGAGGGAGGGAGAAAGATAACTTGGAGAAAGATTATTGACATGTGAAGCACATAAATTAGGCATCTTGCAAAGCTTTCACAACTGCCTCTCCTTGGCCCATAGCCATTAGGACCTAGACACAAATGACAAAAAAAATTGTGATAAAAATTCTATAATTTTTTGATAGCATAATTAAATGCTATACTTTATCCATTAATGCTGTGTTTGGTTGGAGTTTTTGAGGTGGGATTTGGAAAAGGAATGGGAAATGTAATCCTATTTATGTTTGGTTATAATAAAAAATATATGGGAAAAGAAAGGGAGTGAGAAATAAATAAAGAAATAGGATACCTTTTAGGACATCAATTCTATTTTATAACCAACACAACCAAACATAGTTGAGATTTGGAATTCTATTAATTCTTTCTCCTTTTCCTTTCATTTTCATTTCCCTTTCCATTTCCCTTCCCAAATCCCTCAACCAAACACAGCGTAAGTAGCCCACATAATCATTTTATACCAAGTCCTGTGGATCCAAATATGCAAGTATATCAAAGGAAATTCGTTAAGACATGAGACATTCTTAAATATCTCATAACAGCATTTATAAGACAATTTCGAGTTCAACAAGGTGATACTTCATAATTATTATTACCTAGAATCCCTACTCCTTGAAAAACAAATAGACAACTTTTATTTATGAACTCATCCTAATGAAATGCCAAGCAGAATCTCACACCACAACATGGAAGCATCATACAAGGAGAGAAAAACAAACTCTATTTTAATTTTTTTCCATAAGGGTAGCACTCTCTAGCACCTATCTGTACAACTCTACATCAGCCATTTAACTAATATCACAACAATGAAAATAATTTCTTTCAAGGAAAAAGATACTGGCATCAAGGAGTTCAAAAGTGCCAGACAGTCATTCTTACCACCACATGAATAATTTTGAAGCACACTATGATATTACAAAAAAAAAATTGCAACACTTAACCTACAATGATTTCTATAGATATAGGGGGGGATGTAGAGTTGTAAAACTTAACCTACAATGATTTCATTTTATGTACATAACATACACAGCATGTAAAACTAACCATTATTAACTGAAATAAAATATATTGCAGGCCAGTATGCAACTAATAATGCAATACCTTCTGCTTCTGTTCTTCAGTCAGAGTACCAGGCATGGTCACATCAATCATATTCATAGCCACTTGTGCAGTTTGGAGCACTTGGCCTCTTTCATCATCTATAGGACTGCCTTCGTCTTTGACTAATACTGCATCAATAGAGCTAGCCTGCTCTAATGTACCATTGCTCTTTTGTTGCAATCCTCTATCTTCAATTTCAGGATTTCTCTGTGAATCACATCTGAATCTTGAACTGATGCTAGCTGAGATATCACTTTCTCCAAGCCTCTCCTCTAAAGGATATGAAGAATACCCATTTAAAACATTTGACTGGGAAAGATTCAGGAGTTTGTTCACTCTACCACTTTTATCAGATGATGTGCCTTCCACCCATGCTAAACCTTTTGAAGGATTAAGGGTAATATCGACATCTTTCCAAAGAGGATGGCGGCCTTTTAAAAGTCCAAGTTCCACAGTCGCAAGCCACTGCACATACCACATGCATACTCATAACATTGACAGTTGCACAAGTGATATTTATATTGGCCAAAATCCTAGTATACCACTATCAAACACGTCCATTCCATATCAATAAAACCAAAAGATCATTACACATGGTGATGGTGGTGAGATCAGTATCACACATGCAGACACACATCATTCAAACAATACCAAGATAACTGAAATAGACATAAAATGAAATTCTTTTTCCCAAAAAAATAATTTTTGAAAATATTGGTACTTCTTCAACCCCAAATAACTAAGTAGTCCAATAGTTCTTTTACTTTAATACAAAATTGACACATCAACACTAAAAATTGCCTATTGATTTTGAGTTTAAGGACCAGAACTAAGTAGTCCAATAGTTCTTTTATTTTGATTTTGAGTTTATGACTCGCTTTAAAAATTGTCAATTAACAACTACCCATACAGGATTAAATTATCTTTGTTAATAATTAAAACAAAGAATGCCTAAAACAATGAAGATTTACACAACAAAATAAATAGGTTACAAAAAAGTCAAATATAAAATTAATACTCAAAACATCTTTCTAGCATTTCTCACCCTTCTTGCCGACATATGGCTGTAGAATTAGGAGATGGAAAATGCATCAAATTCAAACAGAAATACTGGGCATGTTTGGGTTGTCTCTCAAAACACGTTTTTAGAAAGACAAATAAAAACTCCAAAAATATGTTTGGTTGAAATTTTTTTTAAAAAATTCAAAATTACTTTTCTCTCTACTTACACATCAATCCTTACTTTTTCTTTCTCCTCTCTTATTCTTAATCACTTTTTCTCTCACACCTATCTATTCAACTACAGAAAAATAAAAATAAAAATATCAAATCATATTAAAATCCAAAACTCTAAAACTATTTTCAAAATATATAACCAAACAAATTTTCAAATTTTCTAAATTCTCTTCAAAAAATTATTTTTGAAATAATATCTCAAAACACAAATCAAACAAGGCCACTAAATTGGAAGTGACATTTAAATAATTGAAGGGGAGAGTACATACCCACAGTTTGCAGCTTGCACCGGTTGTCAATAAACTCGTTTGATGCACTTGAGAGATTAACATGAACTTGACTGGTAAAACACGAATTACTTAAGATTCATAAAACTTGTTGAGATTACACACTCTCTTCCTACAAATGTACATGAATCAATTAGAACCCACAGACAATGAAGCATGAGTCCCAAAAAATAGGGGAACAACTTTAACGTCTTCAAGCATTAATTCATTGGTTATTCAAACTTCATTCATAAACAAGAAGAAGGAAAGTTTAGAATGTATCTAAATACCAACGAACTCAAGAAGATAGAGTACTAACAAACTCAAGAAAGCCAGAACAATTGCGAGGGTAGTAGTGGCTTTTGTAAAAATGCTGAAAGCATAGCTTGTTAACACTTAGAAATTGTATCAACAACTGTAACAAGATATGTTATGTTACTTGCAGGTACTTTGTACTTTGAACTCATTTAACATAAATATTATTAAATGAGGGAGAGAACCCTAAGTTTCTCTCTCTTCATTGTCTCAAATCATTTCTTTTCCCTTTCTGTCTTTTTTCCCCCTCTACTAATTCTACCATCACCAACAAAATAATCCAATGGTTAACTAAAAATCATATGCAATAGGAGGCTCAAATTCCCACATTCGTACAGCTTCATTGGCCCGCAAAGCTATAAGATGGGAAAGTTGACATATTTGATCAAAATTTCTTTGGTCCATCGCCTCTTTATCAAATATAGCATCTGAAAAAACAACTGATGATGCTCCCTTTTCAATGTATTCCCCTATCAAATTTGCAGTAAATTCCAAGCATATGTTCATTCAGGTCACAAAAAATAATAAAATAATAAAAAAATCCTGCAAATCATTAATCTTGAACAAACTAAAGGTAAGATATTTCATGCTATAGAAGAATGCTATTTTCAAGTTGTTATAAAGAAAGTGATTTCAAGATTCATACAATGAAATATTTCATGTTATAGAAGAATGCTATTTTCAACTTCTTGTGATGTATACCTTCACCCAAATAGCAACTCTTAAGTCTTGCTAGTAGATTATGTTAACAGCACATTACCTTTATGACTGTTGTGTTGTTCATGTGACACAATTTGAGGACCTTACTGAAGTAACAATGCCCAAATGCTTCCCTAGTCCACGTAAAAATTGTTTTTTAATGTTGGTTAATTCATTTGAATCTTTCAAATGGAGTCATAGAACTTTCTACAAGATTGTATGAAGTTTCTTCATTTTACATAGCATATTTTTCAGTGGTGCTTTCTACTTGTTGGCTGCTTTCTAGTGGCAATTATTTTGTATGCGAATTTCAGAATTTGAAAAATACGTTCCAACTACGAGGGGTTGCTGTGGATAGTTCATTATAGGATGTAATTGATGTTTCTTTGGATAGATCATATATACCAATAGTTCAATTGGGGGAAGGACTTCTTATTAGTGATGATTCGTTGTGTGAAATTGATAGAGTTCCAATTGGGCCAAAATATTGCAAAGTCATTGTCTTAAAAACAAAAATGTCGAATGCTCGTTTGGAAACACCATCCCGAGGTCTAAGAACAGTTGGAGAAGCTATTGGAAGATACATTGTGTGGCACTTGATTTATGTATATGTTACAATCTTATTTATTTATTAATTTATTTATGAAATAAATATAAAATATTTTACATTTTTTGTAAGCTTGAAAATAGTTATATTGTAAATAATTTTTTTTTCTTTTTACAGATGACGCCCTTTTGAGTACATGATGATATCTTCGCATATCAATATTGGAGCTTACTAACGATACTAAAATAAGCAATAATATATATGTTTTTTATTTGTATTGTCGATACTTTTGTCTTGTTTTAGATACAAATTTGAGTTCTTGAATTATCTTTTTTTTTTTTTTTTTTTGGGGGGGGGGAGTAATAACAAATAGACAACTTTTATTTATGAACTCATCCTAATGAAATGCCAAGCAGAATCTCACACCACAACATGGAAGTATCATACAAGGAGAGAGAAACAAACTTTATTTTAATTTTTCTCCATAAGGGTAGCACTCTCTAGTACCTATCTATACAACTCTACATCAGCCATTTGACCAATATCACAACAATGAAAATAATTTCTTCCAAGGAAAAAGATACTGGCACCAAGGAGTTCAAAAGTGCCAAATAGTCATTCTCACCACCACATGAATAATTTTGAAGCACACTATGATATTACAAAAAAAAATAAAAAAATGCAACACTTAACCTACAATGATTTCTATAGATATAGGGGGGGAAAATAATGACATGATATGAAACCAGTTAACAATAAAAAATGTTTAAGCATTAACTGAAAAATATAGAGCTGCTACTGGTTTCATGGTTTCATATTTCATTTTATGTACACAACATATAAAGCATGTAAAACTAACCATTATTAACTGAAATACAATATATTGAAGACCAGTATGCAACTAATAATGCAATACCTTCTGCTTTTGTTCTTCAGTCAGAGTACCAGGCATGGTCACATCAATCATATTCATAGCCACTTGTGTAGTTTGGAGCACTTGACCTCTTTCATCATCTATAGGACTGCCTTCGTCTTTGACTAATACTACATCAACAGAGCTAGCCTGCTCTAATGTACCATTGCTCTTTTGTTGCAATCCTCTATCTTCAATTTCAGGATTTCTCTGTGAATCACATCTGAATCTTGAACTGATACTAGCTGAGATATCACTTTCTCCAAGCCTCTCCTCTAAAGGATATGAAGAATACCTATTCAAAACATTTGACTGGGAAAGATTCAGGAGTTTGTTTACTATACCACTTTTATCAGATGATGCGCCTTCCACCCTATAGACACCCCATTTTTGACCGACCTTAAGACTCAAACATCATTGATTGAGCGCTCGATGATAGTGCATGTTGTGCTCGTTCCGAATTTCTGGAGTTTTGGCCGAGTGCCTTGCCCCCGGGCCTCTTAACTCTTTGTGCTTTGGCTCGGTTTACGGATCAGGCCTTGTTTCTCTTCTCTGAGGGAGGGAGAGGTCTTGTAGACCATCTCTTTGTGGTCATAGACCACTTTTTGTGGTCGTAGGCCACTTTTTGCGCTTAGAGACTAGTTTCTTGTCTTCAGAGCCTTCGGTCGCGCGCCTTGTCTCGAGACCACTTAACGTTCTCCATTTGGCGTGATTTTTGAACTACACCTTGTTTCCTTGGCCTAGAGGGCCACTGTGGTTTGGGAGACCACTTTTGTGGTTGTAAACCACTTTTGGTGCTTGTCAGCTAGTTTTCGAGGCTCCTGGCTGCATGCTTTGCCTCCCAAACTTTCGTCTTGCATCCGTTTTGATTTGTTTTTGGTATAAACCTTATTTTCCTTGTTTGGAAGGTGGTAGAAGGGTGGGAGACCAGTTTTTTTTCTTGGAGACCACTTTTCTTCTCGCCAGCCAGTTTTCTGATCTGACAACTGGTCTCCTAGGTCTTTGAGCCATCTTTTCTGGTCGACCACCCCACCCCTGGCTTGTTTTCAGTGTGCTGATCATCTCTCACCATGGCCGACCACTTGCTGTCTTGGGCGATCACTTTAAGTGGTCGGCTGCTTTTTGCCACCTTTTTGGAGATATTTTCCTCCAGCTGGAGCTGGAGGACACGGAAGCTATCCTCTATACACGTGTATGGACGGATTGCCTTGAACCTTAGCTTTTCCAAGAAGCTTTTCTTTTGGTTCTTTATAAGAGAGAACCATCTCCTCCCTCCTCTAGGTTCAGAAAAAAGGGCTGGAGTGATACATATAGTTTTGTATCTATACTTGTTCATTTTGCTCTTGTTTTGTGTTCAAAAGGGTCATTTTGTCTTACTTTAACACACAAACAAACACTCAAACACCATCCTTTTGCTACTGAGGTGCTTAGGAGCTAGTTTTGGTGTTCTTGGGTTGGTTTGAGCTTGAAAAACCTGCTGGAGTTGCAGCCTTGAAGAAGTTCATCAAGGGTGAGTCTTTAACCCTTAAAACCCCCATTTTTGCTTAAGCTTTTGAGCCATTTTGCATGCTATTTTGAGCCTAACTTCCTACTAAAAAAAGTTCTATATTTTGGTGCTTAAGAAGTTTGTTTCAGATCACTTTTGTGTTTGGGGTTGTTTACCCCCTATTAGGCCTTGTTTGGCCTTGCTTTTGTGCCTTCTTTGTGGGCCTTTGGGACCACCTTGTTTTGGCCTTCTCACCACTGAAACTCAAAGGAATTTCAATAGTGGGAAGGGTGTTTAGAGGTCCCAAAAAGGAGAGGGTCATCCCCTCTCCTTGTGTCTTCAATACTAGTCTTCATTAGCCTCATGTGTGAGCAAGTTTGTTAAGCTTATGTTGGCCATATATTAGCTTTTATTTGTGGTTATTTTGCTATGGCATGCCACTTTTTTTGCTTGGTTTTGTCACTTCATGCATGCATAATACACTTGTAGTGTAAATCACACACACTAGCTTTGTATGCTTCATGAAGTAGCATGTCATTCTAGCTTGTTTTCTTTCCATTTCAGCATGTTTTTGGTGATGTTTTCCCATGTCATACCTCTGTTAGGGTTTGGTTTGGTCACCCTTTGCATGCCCCATACACTTGTGGTGTAATTCCATGAAATAGCCTAACATGCATCATGTTGTAACATGTCATTCTAGCATGCTTTTGGCTTAACTTTATGAAGCTTTTGTCCATGTTTTAGCATGATTTAGCTCTAATTTTGGTTGTTTTGACCATGCATGACTTGCTTTGTATAGCCATGGTTCAATCTAGCTTGTTAGCTTTGTGCATCAAGTCCACTAGCATGCATTACTTGGACTATTAGAATGATTTGGCATCATTTATTATGTGATTTCAGTCCATGGTTCATGGTCATGGACTTGTAGTTATCACTCATTCAATGTGTTGGAGGGTTTCCCCCTTTATGTCTTAACATGAGACATTGTGTATGCCTTCATGCCTTAGCTTACGAGCCATCATTTCAATGTGTTTTTGGGGTTATTATGCCATGATATAACTCTAATTTTTGTTGGTTAAGTCACCCCATGCTTGGTCTTAATAGGTGTAGTGTAATCTACCTTATTGCCTTGTATGCATCATGACTTATGCCCTTCATGCTAGCTTATTTTGGCTTCCTTCCATGCATGTTTTAGACTTATTTTAACATGTTCTAGGATTGTTTTGGGTTGCCTTGATCACACGCTTCATGTTTTGCATACTTGTAGTACAAGTGCTCTTGCTTGCTTCAAGCTTTGAACACCATTGCATGCTTCATTTGTGTTGTGTACATGATTTGGCATCATCTAACATGACATTTCAGAGCTTTTAGCATTGCCATGTTCCCACTTCATTCGCTCTTTAAGTGTCTTTGAGTGTTGTGCATTGTTGCCTAGTTTATGGCTTAGCTTGTATGCTTGCATGCCTAGGTCTTTGAGTCCCCATCTCAGCATGTTTAGGTCTTTGTTTTGACCTCGTTGAGCTCTGTCCATGCTTAGTTCATGCTTATTTTCCATGTATTGCATGCCTCATTTGTAGTCCTCTTTATTAGCTTTCATGCTTTAGGACCCTAGCGTGCTTTACTTGCATTGTTTAAGTGAGTTGGCATCATTTCTTGTCTAATTTCAGTGCACTTAGTGTTGTCACACTTACACATTTGTCACTCTTCGAGCCTTCTTGAGGGTTGTGCTCTTGGGCCTAGTTGGATGGCCAATGCATTGTGCATGCATACCTTGCCTTTTGTGCCTTAATTTCATCACCAATGGCCACTAATTTGGGCATGGTTGAGGCCCATCCATTTTGGTTTAAGTCCATTGAGCATTGTGTATTCCATGAGGTCCATCGCATTATGTATGCTAGTTGTTGTTTGCATTGAGTATGCATGTCCCTAGCATTGATAAGTTGCCCTTGTTGCATTGCATTGTGCATGCATGCATTACATTGTATTTAGAATCTAAAGTTGCTTTGCATTGAGCATGCATGCCATCGATCATTGAGTATGCTATGTTAAGTTGCCTTACATGTTT